GGAGAGGCCGAGGCGGCGGTTGAAGACGTGATCCTCGAAGGAGATCGACATCTCGTTGCCCTCCATTTCCGACGGTTTCCAAGATTCTCTGCAGCTACAAAGGATCTTTTGGTTTGGGTTTATTTTTAGAGGAAAATTATGCTGGGCCCCTTGGTATTGGTTTTGTATTTAGGATCGCTCCTAATCAAATATTTCAGATAAGCTCCCTGGTTTTTATATGAGGATTATGGCATCATTAATCAGAATGGAGTTGAGTGGACTAACCCGACCAGCGATCCATCGGGTATGACCCGTTTAGGTTACCCGGCCAAATGTTTCGGTCAAATTCTAGTCTTGGTGGGTCATAAGTTTCCTTGTACTGACTTTCAAAGAATAATGAAGAGTAATTATAACTATACTATAATGTGTTGTATTTGTTTTTTTCTTTTTAATGTTGAAGGTAGTATTTCAAAATTGCCCGTCCCTGCTCTTTTATCCTATGTTAGTTTTTGTATATGGTTTAGACTATTTTTAACTATGCAATATTCAGAAAGAGGATTAAGTTAAACCTAGCTACCCCCCACCTTTAATAGTCCCTATATTAATTATATGACCAGATTAAAATTTTCTTACAAATTTACCCTTGCTCCTTGTTGTTCTTCTTGCGACAGACTTTTTTTTTATCATTTTCCGTAAACTTTCTTTTTTCTGATTTTTTTTTTCACACTAGCTGCCGATTCCTTCGAACATCCAAGTTTCTCAAAACCCCCATCGTTCCCCGTTTCGTTGTCATTAAGGTTGTTAGAAAAAAAAGTGGAAAGTTGAAGGGTTGCATAACAATTTTATACCATGACATTGAACACGATGAGGGTAAAAAGCTCCAGTTATTTCGATACCTTTAAATTAATTTGTTCCGTTGAAAAGGACAACCAGAAGTGGGTACAGAACAGGAGCTTGATAATGATAAGTAAGTTAGGTTGGTATGTCTATATTTTAGAAAATTCATAAAACCAAATTATGAATTTTTTTTTCCGCCAAGGCATTAATACTGTAGTAGTTGAGTGGAGGGTAAAAAGGTCACTCTAGTTGTAATATTAGAGCAAGTTTAATGTGGAGGCTGCATTTTGCGGTCTCCCCAAAGAATATTTTGTAGTCTCCCCAAAGAATATGCCACCCTATATTCTCTTTTAGAGGAGGGACACTCCAACCACTCTAAGTATAAAAAATATATATTATTAAATGATTATTTCAGTAATACTTTAAGTGATTTTAAAAATATAAAAAATATAAAATGATAAAAAAATTATATGAATTAATTTAAATTTTAAAATATATTATAAATTAATACTAAAATTATAATATATAATATAACATATATTTAAATAAAATTAATTATCTTTAATGAGTTGATAATAAGAAATGAAGTGATGTAACTTTTTTAATTAAAGTTTCGATGTATTTCAATATTAGTATTTTTATCTTCCATATTTTCTAATACATTTTCATTTTTAATTACTTGGTTCTTGGAATTTTATATTTCAATTAACATTATTCAATATTAATCTCATTTTGAAGGTATTGACAAAACATTTCCAACTGTAAAATTTTTATTTAAAAATAATTAGTAGAAATAAACTTAGTTGATTTTAAATTACTAGTTACTAATTAAAAAGGATATGGAAGTAATAAGTAATTGTTTATAAATGTGTAAAAGGGAAAAGTGGGTATTTAGAAAAAAAATTACAGCCACCTGTAAATTTAGGAAAGAGGCTGCATATTTGCAGCCTCATTCCCTCCGGCTGCAAAAATGCAGCCGGAGATGCAGGATGATTGGAGCTCTTCGGGGCTGCAAAATCCAGTTTTGTAGCCCCGTTGGAGCTGCTCTTAGCCCTAATACTCATATTTCCTAAAAAAAACACTGGTTTAGACTATTTTATGTGAGTCCAACTGTTTGTCTGTGTAAAAACAAAGACTAGACTAGACTCAAATAATCCTAGGATAACACAATCTGTCCACCGATTATAATACACCCTAATCCCATGATAAAAACCTAACATCGCCTAAGAGTTATACTTCTATTGTATTACACACAAAAAAGTAAGACCTTTTCTTGTAAATTGCAAAAAGAAAATTATGAGTTATCACGGTTCTCACTACTTTGTGTGTAGTAGTACAATAATAACACAACTACTATAGTACACTTTGTATTTTTGAATAATGAATGTAGAATTAATCAAACGAGATCTGAATAATGATAAAGTAAAGATTTAGATCCTCTTAGGTTTTTGTTTTCACACTAGATGGATATCCATTTAAAGATTAAATATTGGATTGCTATTCTAAGTTTATCCATTTCTTTAAATGGTATTCTTTTGAGCTTCAATGTCATTTAGACATTTTAGTTTGGCCATTTTAGCGATAAAGCTCATTTTTTCTCGCTAGTACGAGAACTCTGGTGAATTGTAATTTTTTTCATCCCCTGACATCTCAAAATTATTAAATCTACATCATCCTCCTTTGACATTTAACAGTTCAAATATCTTCCACCGGCTTTATTTGATAAGATTCTTCTTCATCCCCCCAGCCTCTCAAAATTATTAAATCTACACCATCCTCCTTTGACAGCTCCCAATTCAATTTTTTTCTAGTGCTTTACTCAATAAGATTCTTCTTCTTCTTCACCCCCCCCCCCCCCCCCCCC